TAAACCAAAAGTGAGCCCTCTGGTTGTTGGGTACAGCCCCTCTCCCATCACAATCAATCCCATCATACAATTGGCCCCATATATTTGTCCAGATCTATCAAACCTAAGATGTTTATCCCCACAACTTCTTCTGGGAATCTTTTCCAGAAACTCAACCCTGAGATGGTTAGAAATTATCTTCTAATTTTGAGTCTGAATATATTCATGGCTACTTTATAGCCATTTGTTCTTGTGCCAACATTATCCTTTTGCTGAAAAACTGTCCACCCACCTATGTATTTATTCCCCTTATGTAGATACAGAGGGCAAAACTATCCTCTCGGCCTTCTTTTTTCTAGACTACATGAACCAGACTTATAGTCTTCTCTCAAAAGTTAGACTCGTCGTTGCCCTGATCATCCTGGTAACAATTCTTTTTACCTGTTCTGGATTAAATTCACCTTTTTTGAACATGGATGGTCAGGATTGTGCACAATATTCCACATAAGGACTTTCCAGTGCCTTTTGCAATGGCATGAATACATTTCTATTTCCACTAGAAATGCCTCACCTAATATATCAAGGAGCTGTATCTGTCTTTTTCACAAGTCACATCACATTGGTAAGAAACCAGTGATCAGCCCTCACACTCCCAGGTCCTTTTTTCCTCTACTGTCGCTTCCAACTGCTGAGCCCCCAGCTCGTAGCAGAAAATGCTATGTGCATGACCTTAAACTTTGCACTATTGCATTTCATCCCAATTCTGTCACTCCAGTCTTCAAGGTCATCCAAATTTTCCATAATATTCCAACCATTTTCTGAACTGATGAAGCCTCTTCCTCCCATCAGCAAATTTCATTGGCATACTCCTACATTTATGCCAAGAGCATTAATGAAAATATTGAATATTATTTGTCCCAGAACCAAATTTTGCAGACCAACACTAGCAACCACCCTGCTGTCAGACAATTCACCTTTCTGCACAACCTGTTGCCTTCTCCCTTTGACCTTTTCCTTATCTACCTCATAAGCCTTGTGCTGATTCCCCACACTCTCTATTTTAGCTAATAATTTCCAGTGGGGTACTGTGTCAAATGCTTTATGTATATTAGATCTACTGAACTTCATTTTACTACCCAGATAAGAGCTGGAGTAAGTGGAAATCCCAGCTGTCTTTTGTCAGAATTATATGTCCATACTAATCTAGTCAGGATTTAGTTCTAGAAGCTCTATCTATTGATAAATTCACTGCATTGTACATGCTTTACCATTTTGTTCTTGAAGTTGCTTATAACATAAGATTATGAAACATTATCTCAGGAACGAAAAAGTCCCTAAAAACCGAATGAAGATTGACAAACATATAGTTGACCACTCTTGAACTTCCTCATCTTGACTGGTCTGAGTTATATCTTCAAAGTAGTATGCAAAAAAAGTGAATTTAAACAAAAAGAGAAAACAGAATACAAAGGAACTTTCCAGCCCATCAGTGTGTAAAGGTGGGTCTGGCCCACGAAAGCTCATCATCTAATAAACCATCTTGTTAGTCTTTAAAGTGCTACATTGTCCTGCATTTTGCTTCAGCTACCCCAGACTAACACGGCTACATCTCTACCACTATTGCACATTGTGAGGCATTCAGAAATTGTAGTGATGGGGGGGCATAGAAGGATCCCCAATAGGTTTCTCCTACCATTTGCCTCTCCTCTATTTAGAGTGGAAGTTCTTTGGGGCAGGGACTGCTCTTGCAATGTATGTGTGTGTGTCCAGGCCCAGCACCACAGGACTTTGGCCATGGTTGGGGACAATGAGTAAGCTATGTATGTAGAGATATTTGTGTGTCTGTCTGTGTGTGTGTGTCTTTCTGTGAGTCTATTTGGGTGTGTCTACACTACCCTCCTAGTTCGAACTAGGAGGGTAGTGTAGACATACCCCTGGATACAAACCAGTAAAAAGCATATTTGAAATTGATGCAAACTGAGTTTTGCAGATGTATAAAAATAACTGACTTTTGCTATTAAATATGTGCTGTGTTAATTAACAAGTACCTTGATTTTTTTTATCTTTTATAAAAATGTAAATAATTATTCCAACTGACCAGATATGCATTTCTCATAGAAGTTGAATGGCTTAGAAATAATATGAAAATAAAAATTTTGTTTGGCTGAAACTTGGTAAGGAGGCTCACGCGGAGACAATTTTTTTCCTAAAATATCCTAAAACGTTGTCTCTGGTTTTGAATTATACATACTGAAAACACAAATTATAAAAGAAATACTCCAGACCCTTTACTACTTGGATAGCTCTATATTTTTATATGTAGTTTTATTTCTACAACCCCTTTTAGAATTGGCGAGCTCCTGGAATACTGAACTGATGTTCAAGCATTCCTAGATGTTGTACGATAGCACCAAATGTCTCAAAAGTTTCCAAATACCATTTCCCAGCTTGCTTAGAGTCTGGTGCAGAGAAAGAATGGAATGTAAATTGGAATGGAATGGAATGCAAAAGCCAATGTAGTGTTTCAGATAGTGTGACTTTTATAGACAGTTTGCGGGTCCAAGAAGGAGCCATGCCAATCTAATTTCTTCTATGATGAGATACCTGGCTCTGTGGATACGAGGAAAGTGGTAAACCTTAACTTTAGCAAAGCTTTTGATATGATTTCCCAAAGTATTTTTGCCAACAAGTTAAAGAAGGATGGACTGGTTAAATGGACTATATGATGGCTAGAAAGCTGCCTAAATCATTGTGCTCAATGCGTAGTGATCAACAGCTTGATGTCTAGTTGGCAGCCAGTATCAAGCGGAGTGCCCTAGAGGCCAGTTATGTTCCATATCTTCATTAATGATCAGGATGATGGGATGGATTGCACCATTAGCAAGTTCACAGATGATACTAAGGGTAAGTCTATACTGCGGTGCTGTTTCGGGACACTTCGGCTGTGTCTACACTGGCATGAATTTCCGGAACATTAGTTATTTTTCCAAGAGATAGTGCATCCTGTGTCCTTGGCAGCAAGAGAAGTAACCTTCGATGGGGGCACTGAGTGCCAAAATTAAGTTCCTAGAACCCAATCCATACAAGGAGAAGAGAGAAGCTATTCTGATGAGCAAACCATATCGCTTCAAAATCTCTTTCTGGAACTTTTAGGGTATGTCTACACTACCCCGCTAGTTCGAACTAGCGGGGTAATGTAGGCATACCGCACTTGCAAATGAAGCCCAGGATTTGAATTTCCCGGGCTTCATTTGCATAAGCGGGGAGCCGCCATTTTTAAAACCCCGCTGGTTCGAACCCCGTACAGCGCGGCTACACGGGGCACGAACTAGGTAGTTCGAACTAGGTTTCCTAGTTCGAACTACCGTTACTCCTCGTGAAATGCAAACAAGGCGACGGGAAAAAAAAATGGTTACATAGTGTAGGAGCATGATGTCTGGAACACTTTGATAACAGTCATCTGGATCAAGTACAGCTTCTGAGCTGGAGTTGGGTAAAAGCAGTTCTGTGCACCAATGCAGCTCCACTAACTCACACAAGAACAAAGCCAAGAAAAATAGCAAAATATCATATCCAGTCTGATCAGAAAAACACATTCCATTAAAAATTTCTTCCTGGTCTCAAAAGGGCACATATACAGTCTTCTATCTATGAGTCCCTAGTTCAGGTATAGCACAGAATGGTCAAAATATTCATATGATGGATATTCAATGGCTTCTGTGAAATGATTTAGTGTTTTCGTTCCATTTTCTATGTGCCCAAATGACAAAACTTGCTAAGCTCTATAATTGCACTTTTTATAGCAATTTCAGCATAAGAGCCATGGACTAAATGGGCATGGAAACTGTTCCATCCTTTACCTTAATCATAAGGGTTCCTTTGTCTGTAATCAAAGATGTGGTCCATAGGTCAAAGTTGAAACGTGGTACAGGGATGTTTATTTTTTCAGTAGATAAACATAACAATTCAGTTTCTAAGTTTGTCAGTTTGGCACCATTGGCAAACACTAAGCATTCATTTAAAATTATTTATATTTTAAATTATTCCATGAAAGCATGGTTACAAATTTCAAACTATGTTAGATTTATCATAAAAAAATTCAACAAGACACAGGTTTGCTTTCAATGTCAGTAGATTTTACAGTGAGTTATTGTCCTCCAAAAAAAAAACCCTCAAAACAAAGTGTTGAACTTCTAAACTACTGCCCTAATCTGTCCTCAGACTGTTTCAAATTGCTGCTTCTATAAGTAGAGGCATCCAAAATGTATGATAATGTTAGAGAACAGTCTTGTACTGGCAGGAAGCTGCACAAGCTCATTAGCGTTTTTCCGTTTTTCAAATCCTATGATTTTCATCCTTATATCTACTTCAAAGAAATTTAAAATGCCAAATTGCTCCCATTCAATATCGATGGCTACTCTGTCTTTTTGTTCCTAATATATTTGTAATGAGGTATATGTAATTCTATCTGTCTGTTTGCCCATCTATCATCTCTATATTATTGGGCTATGGTACCCAATCATCCCTTAAAGTAGAAAGACTTTAAAAAGTGAGACATTTGACAAGCCCCCCACCTGTAGATTGTGGGGGCGGAGGGAGGTTAAAATAGGACATGGAAGGAAATTGTGCCCCAGTGGTCTCCCATGAGAATTTCCTCCGGCAACAACTGCCTCTCCATATGGTAACTTTCTCACATAAGAAAAAAACACAAAAGAATAGTAGTTTATAATTTAGTTTCTCACAGTAGGATCAATAACAGCAATAGAAATGTTCTGTTAAAAGTAAGGAGTAGTTTTATACTGTCAGCTCTAGAAGCTAACATTAAACCTTGCCATACTGTTCTTCACAAGAGAGACAAGTCACATATTTCAGATGGAAATATTTTAGTATCTGATATAGTTTCTCTTTTATGTTTCCTTTGCATTTCATTTTAAAAGGTATACTATGTGCCCAATCACAGCTTAGGGCACATATATTATATTTAACAAAATAACTCTATAAGCCAGCAATCTGCCACACACCTCAAAACACCACTCCTCAGACAAACCTCTGCAAAAGAGCTGAATCTTCTGATGTACCATGAGGCTGAAATTTATAAAGTCATCTACGGGATGTCCACGAAGGTTCTGTCACACCACTGGGAAAGCCACACTACAGTTCAGACTCTTGACTCAGGATGCTTGGCCTGCAGATGATTAAAGGTAGAGATTTTCAGGCTGACCACTCTCCAGTGACCTCAACTGCCATGATATCTGAAACAGTGAGAGGTGGTTTCAAGAAACTAGAACGCAAATTGTGCAGTGATTTATACAGATCAGCCAATATCCTGAATTTTAATTGTAAGTAAGTTGGGGGGGAAGACCTTGAGAGCTGATAAACATGTTTCGTGCAGAAAATATTGCCATATAAACACCTAATAGATAGATGGTGATCAGTAATCCAGTCTAGCAGTAACCGAGGTATGAACTATTGTGGCAAGGTCATAATTCTATGGATGTACATCTACACCACAGAGAAAGATCAAAACTGCAGCTGTTTATCTTCCAGGGTTTGAATTAGCAGTCTAATTAAGATAGCTAAACTAAAGTGAGAGGAGCACTCTGGTCAATGCCGGTAACCCTGCTTTCATGAGGAATAAAGGAAGTGGAAGGAAGAGAGAGTTCTTCCTTTGACTTCCTGCAATTTGGACAGCACCAAAAGCTGAGCTAAGCTACTTCAACTTCAGCTACGCAATTAATGTAACTGAAATTGTGTATCTTAATTTGACTTTGTCCTGTAGTGTAAACGTACTCTGGAACTGCTTACACAGTAAAACACAACTCAGTGAGAGAAAGGGAGGAACAGTTTGTCCTATACTCTTAAATTCCCCAATGCATGCAGCCTATTTTATACATATATTTTTATAGAAAGTTCACATACTTGCAAAGCCCTGATATTTGTCTACAAAGACCCAGGTTCAGATCTTGCAAATGCTTAACACCCATGTTTAATGTTAAGCATCTGAGTAGTGAATGGAATTCTCTCATGTTTAAACGTAAACATATAGATAAATATTCAGGACCCAGCCCTTAATTTGCTCAAATAATAATATATAAAAACCTGTGAAATTGACCCTTATTCACTAAGTGCAGGCCAAAAACTTAGATTGTTGCAACCGTCATTTTAAGAACATCAGAGGGGTATCTGGAAACCTGTAATATTTTTTATTATAGTTGGGTTTTTTGCTTTTTTCTTTCGTTGTTTGTTTATTTTTGTTTTTGTTTTATTTTTTGTTTTTTCGCTTTAGGCTAGAAATGTAATGTACACAGATAAAACCATTATGAATGGACAAAGAAATCAGACCTTATTTTTATCAGCAAATGTCATACACAATTTTAGGTTTCATGTGCATTCTCAAAACATGTCTGATCTTAGCGTTTTCAGTCCATTGCCTATGTGCACTAACAGCATTTCCAAATGCTCTAGTCTAGATTTATGTCTGTAATATCTAAATGTTTATCACATTTCTATTTTGGTATATATTCAATAATTGTTTACAAATAGCTCCCTAAGGGTATGTTTACACTACAGAGAAGATCCAAGTTGCCGCTGTCAAACTTCCAGGGTTCAAATTAGCGGGTCTGATGAAGACACGCTAATTCAAACTGAGAGGGGAACTCTGGTCAATGCCAGAAGTCCTGAGCCCTCAAGAGTAAGGGAAGTTGAAGGGAGAATGTTCTTCCTGCAGTGTGGACAGAACCAAAAGTCGAGTTAAGGTATTTCAACTTCAGCTACGCAATTAAAGTAGCTGAAGTTTTGTATCTTAATTTGACCTTATCCCATAGTGTAGATATACCCTCTGTGAACTATAAACTCTTGATAATAAACTCTGTAAATGGGTATTAAGAAATAGGACTACTACTTTTGATTTCATGGTTCTCTGGAATTACACTGTTCTCATCAATTTTGTGGTATAATAGTTTGGAGATTCTAAATGGTACCTTCCACTCACCAGTTAAATCCAGTGTCTGTTGACGTAAAAAGCTTTTTACTGAAAAACTGCAAGATTTTTACTTTGACTTCTACAGTCTTTAGTTTTCAGGGCATTAATAAGTGTTAAGCGTACATTAATTGAAAAGAAGTATGTAATTATCTATAAGGATGTAAGAAGAAAGATTGGAAAGCTTAAAAGGAGTTAGGAGTCTACTTCCATTGGAGTATTCTTCCCATAGTTCCTTAACAATGCCTAAATGTTTGCACACCTGCTTCCGATAGGTAAGGGGATTCCTATAAAAAGGTAACTTTTCAAAGCATCTGTATCAGGTCTAGTTATGTCTGTAGGTAATCACAATTAAATAATTTACCTTATGTCTAACCAACATTTATCTGAAAGTATAGACTATGTGGCTCTAAGTATTGAGACTTAGTAGAAACCTTAAAATGTAGGGCTGTGTCCAGACTCAGGGGTTTTTTCGGGAAAAGTAGCCTTTTCCCGAAAAAACTTCCCCTGCGTCCAGACTCAAGCCGCATTCTTTCGAAATAATTTCGAAAGAACGCGGCTTTTCTTTCGATGGCGGTAAACCTCGTTTCACGAGGAAGAACGCCTTCTTTCGAAAGTTCCTCTTTCGAAAGAAGGCGTTCTTCAATGTAAATAGGGCTTCCTCGAAAGAGAGCATCCAGACTCGCTGGGTGCTCTCTTTCGAAAAAGCAGATTGCTCTTTTGAAAGATCCGCCTGCAGTCTAGACGCGATCTTTCGAAAGAGGCTCTTTCGAAAGATGCTTTCGAAAGAGCCTCTTTCGAAAGAAGCCTGCAGTCTAGACATAGCCTAGAAGTGGAAATCCACTAAGGTTTGTTTGGCTTCCAGTGGGGAGGCCTATTGATTCATGGTTGTTTGCCCTGTCACACAAATGTCTAAATTCAATCATTATTGTTTTTTAAAAAAAGAAGTAAACCATTAACTGATGGCATCTTGTTAACTACAGCTGTTATGGCAAATTTTTCTATAGTTATTTAGTTGGTATTGCCTTAATATACTTGTTTGTCTATAGTACATGTTGAATCCAGCTGTCAGAAAAATCAGATACACATACACTGATTGCAGGCTTCAGATTTCAATGGGTCAGTACAAAGTGTAAACTATAAAGAATTTGTTCCCAAGAGTCTAGATTTCCTCACACTAATAGGACCACTAGCCAGAAAACCTGGATTTGCAGGGACAAGATGCAGGATTTGATTGAAAATTGCTGAAATGGGAAGTTTTCTGATAGATGGCTGAAAACAGAACTATGTATGAAAGTGAACCATAGCAAGAGAATTTAAAATAACAACTCCTGATGAACAGGAACTGCTAGTTTTTAATATTTTTCTGAACTTTCTGTTTACTAGTTTTGCTATATTGCCTACACGCAGAAAATAGGCGATATCGTGACCTTTAATGTAATGTGGTGCAGCTTAATGTGCAGCGGCATGACAAGGCATGACAATGCTCACTGAGTAAACATTGTGGTTTCTACGAAATGGGAAATCATGGTTCAATGGCTGTTGAAATTTTTGTAGCATGTGCAGAGCTATATCTACAGTTTACCTGTGTTGCATTGGAACTTCTTTGTCACAAATGATTTTAATACAAAAACATTTTGTTTATGCAGAATGTCTGTCTCCTTCTATATGTTTTGTTGGGAGGGGGAGGGGAAAATGTGATGTGTTAGATACCTGCTATCAAAACTCTAATATTTATAGATTTCAGAATTGTATTTATTTATGTATATATAATTTAAATGAGCTAGCATGAAACACCACTTCTCCCTGGCTCTCTTTGACTGGCCATCAATTAAAAAATAAAATTTGAACCATTTCAGGAAAAGGACCTACACATTATCTTCACACTTACTCAGCAGTAAATATAAACATGATTACAGACCACGTTGGAATCTCCTCAGACTTCAGGTCACCTCCAGTTGCTCCAGAACCACAGACTTTGTAGCCTGTCTAGGTCAGACATTGGGAATTTTCTGGACCAAAAAGCAGTTAGGTTTCCATTGAGATTTTGTGAGCCCATCAGGTTTGATTTACCTGCATGTTTGCTTGGAAATTCAAGTTCAACCACCTCAGACTTCTAAGTGAACATTCTACTTCCCCTCTGGAATCCCACACTAACTCCATCCTTGCAAAACACCTCAGCCCTACAGATTGTTGATGACTCGCCTTTTCCTGCTTTTGTTCTGGTAGTTGGTGGGTAATAAAGACAGCCTGAAAGAACCAATTTGAAAAACAAGAGCCCCAAATCAATGCATAAAGGGCTTTGAGGGTTGCTGTGGTTCTGAAGTATAATTTACAATCTTGGCCTATTCCTATATGTTGCTCTTTCATTTCGGATTTTCTAGGTGAAAATAAAGAAATTTGTCTTCAAAACCTGACAAATTTAGGGAAATATAGCTTGACCCTTATTAATGATTCACAGAGGTGATGGATGAAAATTTTCTGCAAAAATATATCTTTGCCAAAGACATGCAGATTTAGGCTGAGCAAAACATTTCATGAATTTGGAGTGATTTCAATTAATTGTTTCTGTTGAAATAAAAAATAACTGGAAATAATTGAAACATAAAAACCAATTATTTTGATTTTATTTTCGAGCCAGAGTTACAATTTGCTTTAGGCATCCTTCACAAAATGGAGGAAGAAGTGGTGCCCTCCTTAAATGCAATAGCCAAATGGGTAAACAGTCACCTGGGATTTGGCAGATCCATCTTTGAAAGAGCAATTTGAATTTAGCCCCGCCCATGAGTGACCTCACCATCAAGCTACAGGGTCTTCTGCATGAGACTTTCCCAAAAGCTGTCAATGCTGTTACAATTTGAGTAACATAGTTGAATAGTCATTGAACCAGAAAAAGAGCGAAAGTAACACTATTGCTAAATGGCTCCAAATTCCCATCCCTGAGCCAATGAATGTTTCATTGTGGATAAAAAAAAGTGGGGCAGCTTCAAAAGGAGAGTTTAAGAAAACCCACCCCAGAATAATTTGCTGATTAAGATGCCCAAATGAAAAAATGGGAGACCTGCATTAAAGACTCTAGACATGGGATTACAATTTAGGTCTCCCTTGCCTGAGAACAAAACATTTTGTTCATCCTGAAATAATTCCTCTCCCCCACACCCAATTTCTAAAAATTTAACATGAATTCAAAATTTCAATCCAACATG